ATGTTACAAAGCCTGGCGAACATCTGGGAGGAGGAGGAGGAGAAGGAGGAGGAGGAAGATGAGGAGCAGGTGGCGATGGCGAGTAGCCGCCGCCCTGAGCGTTCTGGCAGCGCCCCTGTGATGGGATGTCGGGCTTGAGCACGGTAATGCGCAGAGGGCTGCTTGCTTCTTGAGTTGTCGGTGAGCCGTTGGGGGGGCACAGAGGAGGGCCATTCTGGGGCTGTCTTGCGGCTTCCTTCGTGCTATGTTTTTTCTTTTTTGGTAGCGTCCTGGGGTTCTCTCGGGACGTCTTGAGGCTCTCGTGGGCCAACTTGGGGACCTCTCGCATCACATAAGGAGCGCCTTTGGGCTCGCTTGAGGCTTCTTGGGGCTACCGCGGCGGCGGATCGAAGATGCCTACGACGAACCACCGCGGCCCTCTGCCTTTGGAAACGCCAATGTGGCCAAACGTTGGACGATCGTCTGACCAAACCGTTGGACTTTGTGTTCCCTCGGCCGTTGTGGAAACCTTTCTGGGACAGAAATGGGGGAAGAGAAAAGGGAGGATGAGGAGGAAAGGGAAAGATGAGAAAGAAGAGGAGGTCTCTCTGGGCCCTCTTGTGCATCCTGGGAGCCTCATGGGGGCCTCTGAGGGTCTGTTGGGGGCTTCATTGGTGGCTTCATGGAGGCCTCTTGAGGACTTCTGGGGGCCTCTGATGGGCCTCCAGGTCTTCGGACGCCGTCTTGGGGTCTTCATTGGGGTCTCTGGGGCCGTCTTGCAGCTTTCGGCTCTCTTGGCTCAGCGCGCCGCTCTGGCGCAGGCATCCGTCCCACCCCGAGCTTTTAGCGTTGTTGTTTGATTGGTTTTCTCAACCGTGACATCGCCCTACCTCGCCGACGCGCGTCGGCGGGCCAGCCATATTTCCTCGCATTGCCGACGGACGCGGCGGTTATGCCAACGAGGTCTTGGGCAGCGTTCGCGAGCTGTTTCGCGGCCAGCGCTGGCTGGAGCAGACGGTGACTAGTCTCGCGCGGGGCAACGGGGCATTCGTTTCAGCGGGTCTGAGGCGCGGAGGAGAAGTTGGTCCGAGAAGAAGGGCCGTTTTCTCGGGTGTTGTCGTCACGACAGGGCTCGGAAAAGGACATCGGGCATCGTGGCCGTAATGGAATATGGTAGTTTCGGCATCGGCGAGTTGATGCTGGAAAGAAGACGGTGGCGAAACCATCGAAACCTCAGTGAGACTAGGGCGTGGAGACACGGGAAACGTTGGCGGATTTCGGTTGCGAAGAAGATCTGTTCAAGCATTGCCAGAAGAAATCGGCATCTGTCAAGTTGCGCACGCCAAAGAAAGCAGGGTACTTCTTTCACTCCCAGAGCCGGGTGCGCCAAACACGTGTAACAATTTGGGCCGTAAGTAAGCGCTCGTCATTGATTGCGTTGTTGAGCAGGGTATCCCAGAACACTTTGTCGTTTCCAACGTCGGGTTTGCGGGCTTGTTTCGATTTGGTCACCATCTGCGTACTCACGTACACCGTGTCGCATATCGACTTGCAGGTCGGCGACGACGGCGGCCAGCGAGTCATATTTGAGCGACTGCCTGTGGCACTCTGGCCGCTGCATCTATTGTTGAGCTTCAGGGTTGGTTATTACGCGGATGGACATCGCACCATGAATCCCGAGAAGACCGCTTGCCATTAGGGCGGCTTCTCCGTGGATCTAGTGACGTTGACGGTGGACATCACAGCCATCTTCTTACGGACGCTGGAGATTGATTTGGCAGCATTCTTTCGGATATTCGAGTTCGTGCGAATCATACGGTTTCGGCAGTCATGCGGATGCGCAGTGCCGGTGCCATTCTGGATCGGCGCGAGTACACTCAGAGTTCTGCCTGAAACATAGCTCGCGGATCTCTCTCCAACATCTTCAAGTTCGCATTGATTCTGCGATGCATCAACCACGCGATCACCTGCCTTTGGCGCTTCCTGGGCCAAGAGGATTCTGCGCCCCACACGAGCCACGTCTGGATGGATCTGCAGACCTGAGAGCCGGCTGGGCGTTCCTGAGGTGATGAGACGTTCCTCTGGAACCTCACCAACATGGCGCTTGGGTCCACGCAGGTCTTCCCAGTGATCAGCAACGAGAGGGTGTTCAACATCGTCGTCCTCTTGGGCCGTGCCATGGTCTTCTCAGTCGTTGTGTCGGCGATGTTGTCGAATGCGGCACAGACCAGATTCGACCTGAAGAACCGCGAACTAGCGATGGAGGAGCTGACGCGTTTCTTACACGCGTTCAAAATTCAGCCTTGGCTCAGGATGCAGGCGCGGCAGCAGATGAGCGTCAAACTGATGCCGAAACGCCCGCAAGCGGTCAAGGACCTGTGCGTGTGTGCGTGCGCGTCTGCGTGTGTGTTCGACATGATCTCGTTGATCCTGCGCCATCAGACTGGCGCTCTGCAGCCCCCGTTTCCTCGACCACGTTCTCAACCACATCCTCTCGACCCATGAGTGCGCGATGTGGGGGGGGGGGGGGCCTGCATGGCCTGCGCTCAGTTCTCTCCCCCGATGCGGGGGGCAAAACTTGTTCGTCTTCGGGAAGGAGGCGGAGGGATTTGTTCTTGGCGCGGGGCGCCCTGCCCTACGACTCCAACGACAGCTGCATCGAAATGCCCCAGGGATTGACGCAGGTCGAGCCCCGCGCTCGGCTCGCCGAAGCTGGCCCGCGGTGTCGGGCGCGACGAGCTGCGAGGTGGCGCTTCTGGAGGCCGACGCGCTGCTGCCGATCCTGACCAGGAAAGGCCTGCCCAGGCAAATGGCGTGGGCACGCGCCCGCGGCTACCATTCTTTTCCATTGCATTCCAAGACTCCCCTCAGCAACTGGCCGAACGGTCTCGCCCTGCCGTCTGGCACAGACGACGTCATCGCTGCGACGAGGAACGACGCGGCAGTCATCGTGGGGCAGCGGGCGATCGAGGCGTTGAGGACTCGGCCTGGGATTTTCACCAGCTGGGCCAGGTCGGCGAATCAGGACAATATCAACACTTGGGCTTCTGAGGTTAATGGTTGCGGCAGGGCGTTTCTTGTGACGAGTAAGCAGGGGGTTGTGCGCTATGTGCCGCTGGCGGTGCGGCGGCAGCGTCGCTGGGGCCAGCGGGTGCTCGTCTGAACGAGACTCGCTTGGATGGCGGATGGCAGCCAAGAGGCGAGTTGCAAGCTGCCCGAGGGCAAGCAGCGCGCGGGGGAACACCCAGATCAGTGCATGCAGCTGCCGCTCGAGGGGAAGTTGCGCGCTGACCGGCCACGTCGAGGTGGTCGGGGCGGAGAGGCAGAGATAGATGGATCATTCCCGCGCCGTCGGCGCACCGACAAGTTACGTCCGGGCGATCGTTTCGGCGCCTTTGCCAGAGCATGCAGCCACGCCTTCACGCAGCCCTTGCGGCCCGCGGTGTAGCCGTTGAGGCCCGCCGCCCCCGGCAAGTCCAGAGCGCCCGTAATTCTGCGGATGCCGAAAGGTTTTTCCCTACCTTTTTCGCGGGGTTATGGTTTTCTTCCCTGCCGCGGCGCGCCCGCTTCTCCTCGCCCCCCCCCTCCCTCTTCTTCCTCTCCTCACCCGCGCTCAACACATGCACGGCAAGTGCATGACGCACGCGTCTACATACAGCCGCACGCATGCACACATTCGCACGCAACACACACACACACCGTTCAACGCTAGTGCACGCCTGTCGTGAGCAAGCGTGGCACTTCCTCGACACCAGAGGGGTGCGCTGGGGGTGGGGGCCCCATGCGTTTCGGGCTCGCAAAGCGTGGCAGGCGTGGCACTTCATCGACACCAGAGGGGGTGCGCTGGGGGTGGGGGCCCTGTGCGTTTCGGGTTCGCAAAGCGTGGCAGGCGTGGCACTTCCTCGACACCAGAGGGGGTGCGCTGGGGGTGGGAGCCCGATGCGTTCCGGGCTCGCAAAGCGTGACAGGCGTGGCACTTCCTCGACACCAGAGGGGGTGCGCTGGGGGTGGGGCCCTATGCGTTTCGGGCTCGCAAAGCGTGGCAGGCCGTGCACTTCCTCGACACCAGAGGGGTTGCGCTGGGGAGGGGGCCCTATGCGGTCCGGGTTCGCAAAGCGTGGAAGGCGTGGCACTTCCTCGACACCAGAGGGGGTGCGCTGGGGGTGGGGGCCATATGCGTTTCGGGCTCGCAAAGCGTGGCAGGCGTGGCATGGCACTTCCTCGACACCAGAGGGGGTGCGCTAGGGGTGGGGGCCCACCGCGGTCTCTATTCGCGCCAGTGTCGCAGGGCCTAGCAGGAGTCGCATTTCCTCGACGCCACAGGGGGTGCGCTGGGGGTGGGGCCCTATGCGTTTCGGGCTCGCAAAGCGTGGCAGGCGTGGCATTTCCTCGACGCCACAGAGGTGCGCTGGGGGTGGGGGGCCACCGCGGTCTCTAATACGCGCCAATGTCGCAGGGCTAGCAGGAGTGGCATTCCCTCGACGCACAAGGGGGTGCGCTGGGGGTGGGGCCCACCGCGGTCTCTATAATACGCGCCAATGTCGCATGGCCTAGCAGGCGTGGCGTTCCCTCGACGCCACAGGAGGTGCGCTGGGGGTGGGGGCCCACCGCGGTCTCTATACGCGCCAATGTCGCAGGGCCTAGCAGGCGTAGCACTTCCTCGACGCCAGAGGTGGTGCGCTGGGGGTGGGGGCCCACCGCGGTCTCTATACGCGCCAATGTCGCAGGGCCTAGCAGGCGTGGCATTTACTCGACGCCGCAGGGGGTGCGCTGGGGGTGGGGGCCCACCGCGGTCTCTATACGCGCCAATGCCGCAGGGCCTAGCAGGAGTGGCGTTTCCTCGACGCCACAGGGGGTGCGCTGGGGGTGGGGGCCCAGTGCGTTGCAGGCTCCCAGGGCGTGGCAGGCGTGGCATTTACTCGACGCCACAGGGGGTGCGCTGGGGGTGGGGGCCCTATGCGTTGCAGGCTCCCAGGGCGTGGCAGGCGTGGCATTTCCTCGACGCCACAGGGGCTGCGCTGGGGGTGGGAGCTCGTATATTGTCAAGAATTGTAAACACCTTTGCTCAAGCCGGCTCGGCGCGCCTGCGCTCTCACGCAGGCGCGCTCCTATAGTCCTACTTCAGAGCACCGCCCGACCTGCGCGGCAGCCATGCTTCTCAACATCGCCGTGGACGCTCTGCCACCTCCACGTTTGGCGATGAAGACTGCAATGGTTCAGATGGGCGGCGAGGTCAGCGTGGAGACCCCCCGCGGATGCGCCAACGGTGTGGTGCAGTCCGCTTTGAATGCGTACCGCCGCCAGCTGCACAATTGGTCGCCCGATGCGCTCTACGCGAGGTACTCGGAGATGAACGACGGTTGGTGGCCTGGCTGGTCTGATTGATTGGCCTGGCTGGCTGGTCTGATTACTTTGGCTGGTTATGGCTGGAACGAATGATCTGGCTGGTCTGGTCAGTCTGGCTGGTCTGGCTGATCTGGCTGGCCTGGTCAGTCTCTCGCCAGGATGGCGAAACGAGATGTGACATGGTTTGTGAACGCACGTGGCACAAAATAAGTATGTGGGTTTCCTCGGTAGTGTAATTTGATGAGCTACCAGCGTTGCCCATGGAGATTGTCATGTTCCCTGGAGGCAGGGACGTGTGCGCCTTGTTTACAGAGGAGGAGCTATTGCCCTACCTAGGCTCTGCCTAGAAGGGTTCTTATTGTGTGTGCTTAAAGGGCCGGGCAATGACATCGCCCCGGGCGGTTCCCCCGGCATCCGCCCCGCGGATCCCCCAGTCCCCTGGGAGTTGTGTTTTCGCTTTAGCTGTTGCTGTAGCTTTAGCTTAGCTTCAGCTTAGCTTTAGCTTAGTTTTACTTTAGCGTAGCTTCAGCTTAGCTTCAGCCTCGCTCTAGCTAGCTTTAGCTTAGCTTTCGCTTAGCTTTAGCTCAGCTTCAGCTTAGCTTCACCTTAGCTTTAGCTTAGCTTTCCTTAGCTTCAGCTTAGCTCCAGCTTAGCTTTACCTTAGCTCTAGCTTAGCTTTAGTTTAGCCTAAGCTTAGCTTCAGCTTAGCTCTAGCTTAGTGTTAGCTTAGCTTTCGCTTAGCTTGAGCTTAGCTTCAGCTTAGCTTTAGCTACGCTTTAGCTTAGCTTCAGCTTAGCTAGAGCTTAGCTTTAGCTCAGCTTCTGTTTTGCTTAGCTGCAGCTTATCTTTAGCTTAGCTTTAGCTTAACTTTAACTTCGCTTTAGCTTAGCTTTAGCTTAGCTTCACCTTAGCTCTAGCTTAACGTTAGCTTAGCTGTCGCTTTAACTGAAGCTTAGCTCTAGCTTAGCTTTAGCTTAGCTCTAGCTTAGCTCTAGCTTAGCTTTAGCTTAGCTTTAGCTCAGCTTTTAGCTTAGCTTTACTGTTACTACTAATGCTGCTTTCCTGGGAGGTCCAACTCCCAGGTAGGGTCGCACTTGGATAATTTGTCAATGCGTCCCATGGTCGGCAGAACTTGTTTGTCTGGCTCACGGAGCTCTACAAGGTGGGCGACAGTGAGGATGACTTCGAGCTGTCGCAGGCGCTCGGGTCGTACAGGAAGGGCGCAATGCCGGGCGCATAGATCTGAACAGGGCTGCTTTCTGCCAGGCGCTTGGTTCCTGCCACCACGCGTGCGCGGCGGGCGGTGCAGGCCTGGCGCCGCGAGCCCCTGCCCAGACTCTCTCGTTCAGCATTCTTTCTCCGGAATTAGTGCGAATGTTGCATGTTTATCGCCAGCGAGCGAGGGGGAAATGAGAAGGTAGAGGCCTTCTCAGAAGGCGGCGGGGCTTTTCAGAGGCCCTCGCGCATTATGATCGGTTGTCTGTGTCTTCAGGGAATGCGTAGAACACTCGTTAGAAGGCCGTGGGGCTTCCGAGACTTCTGAGGAGGCCAGTGCCTTTTTTCTTCACCCCCTTGCTCGTCGTCTATATTCAGCTTCGCTGCCCTGGACGGAACGAGTTGGTGCGCGTGGTTTGCAGGTGGGGCCGCGGCGACGCCGCTGATTCGAAACTGCCTGCAAGGCCGAAGCGTTCCAGAGTTGAACTCTTGCACCTCTGATTGTTGTAAAGAACTCGGTTTCCGACCGAGTCCAGAATTAGATTGGGCCTAGTGCTCGATCGGGGATTGTGTGTTGTGTGTGGTTTTCTTGGCACGTATTGAAGCCCTCTTTGGGGCGTGCGGGGTTGTCGCGGTGCTTCTTTGGAGGCATATCGGGGGACATCAGAGGACTCCAGGACAGGCCCTAAGACCATCTTGAGCCATGTTGGAGGGTGTGATGCTTCGGGTTGCGCAAAGACAGCCCCTCAGGTATTCCTGGTTAGCCTCAACGGTTCCCCCGAGTAGCCCCCGAGCAGCCTGGGGCGACTTCGGAAACCCAGCCCAGGGGGCGCCGCCGGAGGTGGCGCCAGGATGTAAAAACAGCCCTGAATACTCAGGAGGCATGTTGAGGCCATCCAGGACTACTCGGGGGGCCTGTTGAGGCCAGCCGGGACTGCTTGGGTAAT